GATAAGTTCCTAAAACCTTTAATCTGCGTTACAAATCCCGCCGAGCGCTTTATACTGCGACTACCTAACCCTAAGACCCCGTTCACACTGAGCGATTTATCGCGCGGTAATTCCCGCGATATCGCTCCCCAATGCATTTCAATGGGGCTCTGTCCGTCGCTGTCGCGGGTCCTGTGTCGCTACAGCAGGACCCATTTTGGAGCGGATTTAGCCGCGATTCAAGCTTGCTCAATGCGGCAAATCTCGCGATATAGCGCACTATGCAAATCGCGTGACAAACGCGCGATTTGCATATCGCGCAGTGTGAACGGGGCCTAAGCGGGATTATCATCTATTATTGGACTAGAAGGAGAGTATGTAGGTCAGCTTCCTCCTCCAGCAGACACACCACACACCTGACCCCCTACACCGCACACCTGACCCCCCTACCACACACCTGACTGACCCCCCTCACACACACCTGACTCCCTCCTACATCACACACCTGGCCCTCCTACTTCTCATTTGACTCAACTACTATACACTGGATCCTCCAAACTCACACCTAAACCTCCTACTTCACACCTGATGCCCTACTACACGGCTGAACCTCTTCACAACTGACCCCCTATTTCACACCTGGACATCTGCCCTTCCTACTTCACACCTGGACATCTGCCCCTCCTACTTCACACCTGGACATCTGCCCCTCCTACTCCACACCTGGACATCTGCCCCTCCTACTTCACACCTGGACATCTGCCCCCCCTACTCCACACCTGGACATCTGCCCCTCCTACTCCACACCTGGACATCTGCCCCTCCTACTCCACACCTGGACATCTGCCCCTCCTACTTCACACCTGGACATCTGCCCCTCCTACTCCACACCTGGACATCTGCCCCTCCTACTCCACACCTGGACATCTGCCCCTCCTACTCCACACCTGGACATCTGCCCCTCCTACTCCACACCTGGACATCTGCCCCTCCTACTCCACACCTGGACATCTGCCCCTCCTACTCCACACCTGGACATCTGCCCCTCCTACTCCACACCTGGACATCTGCCCCTCCTACTCCACACCTGGACATCTGCCCCTCCTACTCCACACCTGGACATCTGCCCCTCCTACTCCACACCTGGACATCTGCCCCTCCTACTCCACACCTGGACATCTGCCCCTCCTACTCCACACCTGGACATCTGCCCCTCCTACTCCACACCTGGACATCTGCCCCTCCTACTCCACACCTGGACATCTGCCCCTCCTACTCCACACCTGGACATCTGCCCCTCCTACTCCACACCTGGACATCTGCCCCTCCTACTCCACACCTGGACATCTGCCCCTCCTACTCCACACCTGGACATCTGCCCCTCCTACTCCACACCTGGACATCTGCCCCTCCTACTCCACACCTGGACATCTGCCCCTCCTACTCCACACCTGGACATCTGCCCCTCCTACTCCACACCTGGACATCTGCCCCTCCTACTCCACACCTGGACATCTGCCCCTCCTACTCCACACCTGGACATCTGCCCCTCCTACTCCACACCTGGACATCTGCCCCTCCTACTCCACACCTGGACATCTGCCCCTCCTACTCCACACCTGGACATCTGCCCCTCCTACTCCACACCTGGACATCTGCCCCTCCTACTCCACACCTGGACATCTGCCCCTCCTACTCCACACCTGGACATCTGCCCCTCCTACTCCACACCTGGACATCTGCCCCTCCTACTCCACACCTGGACATCTGCCCCTCCTACTCCACACCTGGACATCTGCCCCTCCTACTCCACACCTGGACATCTGCCCCTCCTACTCCACACCTGGACATCTGCCCCTCCTACTCCACACCTGGACATCTGCCCCTCCTACTCCACACCTGGACATCTGCCCCTCCTACTCCACACCTGGACATCTGCCCCTCCTACTCCACACCTGGACATCTGCCCCTCCTACTCCACACCTGGACATCTGCCCCTCCTACTCCACACCTGGACATCTGCCCCTCCTACTCCACACCTGGACATCTGCCCCTCCTACTCCACACCTGGACATCTGCCCCTCCTACTCCACACCTGGACATCTGCCCCTCCTACTCCACACCTGGACATCTGCCCCTCCTACTCCACACCTGGACATCTGCCCCTCCTACTCCACACCTGGACATCTGCCCCTCCTACTCCACACCTGGACATCTGCCCCTCCTACTCCACACCTGGACATCTGCCCCTCCTACTCCACACCTGGACATCTGCCCCTCCTACTCCACACCTGGACATCTGCCCCTCCTACTCCACACCTGGACATCTGCCCCTCCTACTCCACACCTGGACATCTGCCCCTCCTACTCCACACCTGGACATCTGCCCCTCCTACTCGATAATAACGCACATTTCTATTGTAATCGCCAAATTTGATCAAAGCCCCAAAATGTATATTGTGTCCCATTCACACAGCAAACCAAAGAAGCGACAGGAAACTCTGTCCCCATAGAGGCGCGGGGACACTCCGAGCTTCCTGTCATTAACATGCAACACTTCTCCATCTTTAACCAGTTGACATCCGCGGTGTTACACCCCCTTCCTGTGGCGGCCATGTTTCAGTGTTCAGCGCTGCGGTACTTTGACTGACATTTATTCCGTCATGCAGCATTGCACTGACATGAATTTTATACCCTTTTTTGGGGACAGATAGAGCTTTCTTTTGGTGGTATTTATTCACCACTGGGGGGATGGGGGGGGGGGGTTTTTTTTTTTTCTTTATTAAGGAAAAATTACCGAAATTTAAAAAAAAAAAACAGTTTCCCCTATATTAAATGATAAAACATTTATTATTACCCAATTTTTTGGTAAAATATAAAAGATGGGGTCACGTCGGGTAAAAAGACACTAAACATGTCAAGCCTTAAAATTGCGTGCGCGCGCGAAACCTCAAAAAACGATAATACCCAAAATTGGCCCTAGGCGACGCTTTAAAAGCTGTTACCGCTCATCAGTTTAGTGTTATCAGTGATTGATGGCCCTAAAATGATTGCTCTCACTGCGACGTTCGCGGCGATATGTAACATGTGTAGCGCAATTGTAATTTTTGCGCGCTGGGGCACCGGACGCGTATTTACGTTTATAGGCGCGTAAACGTGGGGGTGGGGGAGTTAAACATTTTGGGGGGGTTTTTTCCCCTTTTTTTATATGTGGCTTTTATTTTATTTTATTTTTTTATGTGTTACTTTTCTTTTTTTTTATTTATATTTTTTTTTTTGCACTTATTGTTATTGCTATTATATAGGGGGATAACAACCCCCTATATAATAGCAAAGGCACACTGACAGGTCCTCTTTATGGAGATATTAGGGGTCTCTAGGACCCCTAATATCACCTATGGACCCCAAAAGAAGCTGATAAAGCAGAGATCTGCTTTATCAGCTTCTTCTCTCTCCAGATGACTGACAGGTGAATGCGGAAGTGATGTAACACACAGCAAGGAGCTGATCTCCCGTCCTCTCCCTCCTGACGCCCTCCGAGCCGATCCCGGGATCCAAGGTGAGGGGTCAGGGGGGGAAACGAGCACATATAGGCGATCGGCGGGCTATGGAGCCGCTGATCGCCTATATGTGAAACACCCGGTACCGGGTGTGTGCATTGGTCGGGTCTTTTCTGCCCGTGCGTTCCCGCTAGGTGGATCGAGAGGTGAGCGAGCGCCGGTATGTGTTCGCTCACCTCCCGATCTACTGAGCCGACCTGTGACAGTCTCATTGTCACAGGTCGCCCCGACCTATGAGGTGAGTGACAAGCCCCTCCCCCTCATAGTTCTCCATCTTTAACCCTTAGTTAGGACAGATCGCTGACATCTGGTTCATAATGAGATGTGACGGCACCACACACAGGGTTAAATATGTTCACCTTACATCCCTACCCACCTTATTATTGTGGGGGGGGGGGGCGGGCATAGGGGGGG